CCCCACTCTGAGACCCCCCACACCCTCACTCCACTCTGAGACCCCCCACACCCTCACTCCACTCTGAGACCCCCCACACACTTACTCCGCTCTGAGACCCCCACACCCTCACCCCACTCTGAGATTCCCTTACACCCTCACCCCACTCTGAGATACCCCACACCCTCACCCCAATCTGAGACTCTCTACACTCTTACCCCACTCTGAGACCCCCACACCCTCAACCCCTTCTGAGACACCCCACACCCTCACCCCGCTCTGAGACACCCCACACCCTCACCCCACTCTAAGACCCCAAACCAATCCACTCTAAGACCCCCTACACCCTCACCCCACTCTAAGACACCCCACACCTTCACCCCGCTCTGAGACTCCCCACACACTTACCCTACTCTGAGACCCCCATACCCTCAACCCACTCTGAGACACCCCACACCCTCACCCCACTCTAAGACCCCCCACCCCCTTACTCCACTCTGAGACCTCCAACTCCTCTGCCTGCTTGGAGGCCCTGGCCCTGGTGGTGCTGACCTGCAGGCTGCCTTGGGCTCCCAGCTGAGCCTCTTACGTCTGTGGACTCCTGACAGGGACTCTGATGGGAGCAGGGGACACAGTGCTGACTCCGCCCCTCCTCGCCACAGGGGGAGTGCTGGGTGGAGTGACATCAGCAGATCGGGGATGACAGGACTTCTGCTGCCTGTGGCAGATGCAACTTGGGGCTGTGAGGTACGGGAATTTTTAGGAAGGAAGTGGGGTGCTCGCTTTCCATTTGCCTGACACTTCAATGAACCAGCATCGTGGTCAGGCCAGGCCTGGTCTGTGAACGGCTTGCGAGGGAGCAGAAGGAGACAGGCTCCAGCCCTGTGGTTGGAAGCTTCCTCTTCCCCAGCCCACTTCATTTCTGACTCGTGGGAGGCCCTGTATGCCTGGCTCCCTGGTGGGAGGTGGCAGATGCAGTGCTGGCTGGTCCAGGTTCACACAGACATCCCCGTGGACGCCCACCACTTGCATGTACACACCCTTTCAGGGTAAGTTTACCAACACATGTACCCAGGACACACAAATGTGCACAGCCCAGCCGACCAGTGGGAAGACACATGAGCTGACCCCTGGCCCCTCCCTTGATCTCTCTTCTTCCCATCACCACCTGTCTCCTTCGACCACCTCCCCAGAAGCCCTTCCAGACCACCCCTCCCCAGTCTGCAATATTCTCCCTCCAACTCTTCAGGCTTGGGCTTACCCTAGGAAGAGCCTGTCCACCCACGCTGCCTCCTGGGTGCAACCCCCCTCAGCCCTTCCCTCTTATCAGGAGCAGAATCTTCCAGGGAACGGAATCTGTCCCACTTCATGCCCAGCTGTTTATCCTGCAGACCCAGGGACTCCACCAGGGGCTCCAATGCCTGGTGGGGGTGGAGGTCCTTCTCCCTGCCCAGGTGTTCAGAGGGATTCCATCCACCCTGCCTCTACTCCCACTCCAAACCCTTTGGGGTCAGCAGAAGGTGCACCTGCAGGGGCTCAGCCTCACCTGCCACTGTCGTGCATGGACCCCAACCACAGGGAGAGTGCATCTCCCCAGGTGTGTCTCTTCCACCTCTGGTAGGACTGGTGGCTGCACAGCTGGACAGCAACCGAGGCAGGTGTGTGGTCCTGCAGAGCCCCCACCATGGCCAGTCCAAGCCCTCCTCGAGACAAAGTCCTCTATTGATGAGGCATTGCCCCTGCCAACTCCTCCCCACCAGTGGCCTGGAGGGCCAGCCATCCCTACCAGGTCTGGCCCCTTGATGTGGCATGGCCAAGGGACACAGTGGATTCCAGAAGATACTAAACACATGAGGCCTCCACTCTCCCCTGCCGGAACAGAGCAGCATTTCTCTTCCACGCCTCCACTCACACCCACCCTTTCCACTCCTGCCCCGTGGCCTGTCTCTGTAGGGCATTTGGGGGCTGCAGAGCCCTTCCTGGAGCCCATGCTCCCAAGCTGGGGTCCTTGCTCCCCAGCTCTGCCCCACGGACACACTGCAACCACACTCCTCTGCCCTAGTTTTCATATCTCACCTTGTTTGATTTTTACCACAGAACTTCTCATTAATTAAAGTAGGGTGCCTTGTGCTCCCTGGGCAGGAGCCTAGCCAGGAGCAGACTCCACAAAGGGCAGGTGCTTAATTAGTGTTAGTGGCCCAGCTAAGGCTGGGCTGCAGTGGGATGGGGCTGTGGTCTGCCTGGGCCCCCGTGCTACCCCTGGGTCTCAGGAGGTCCAAAAGGCCTGGCCCCTGCCTTC